GGGGGGCAGACGGAGCAGGGCTGGCCGGGGAAGATCAGGAGGAGGAGGGGAGAACTGGCCACTGGAAGCAGGGCTGGTGGGTGGTGCAGTGGGGCTGGCTGGGGAAGATTGGGAGAAGGAACCTTGGCCGGCAGGAAGCAGAGCTGGTGGGGGTTGGGTGCAGCAGGGCTGGCCAGGGGAGATTGAGAGGAGGAGGGGAGCAAATCGGCTGGCAGGGAGCGGGACTGACCTGGGTACATGCAGATCCCAGGGTGTTCCCATCCCGTGCAGGGTCCCAGCGAAGCGAGTCCGGCTGCAATTCCACCGGGCGCTTGACCAGGGATAGGGACAGGGCTTCCCCTTCTCCTCTGACGCAACCGAAGGCTCCCAGTGCCGATTGCGCCCCGCCTCCCAGCCACTCCCCCTACCCCTGCCCCCGCCAGGCATCCGTTGGGTGCCCAGCTGGAAAAACAGAAAATACCGGACATTGCTCATGTCTGGTATTTTCTGAATCGTTTTACCGGACAGAGGTCCCAAAAACCGGACTGTCCGGTAGAATACGGGACACCTGGCAATCCAAGCACTGAGCATGTTCAGTAGTGCTGCAGACGCCCCTGCACTTTGCCCTGCCCTCTCTATCTATATGTTTTTTCTTATTGCATTTGAAAGAAGGTTCAAAATGAAAAGGGGGCTAAAGACAGGACATGAAGTTTCATAACATTTCTCACGTTTGTCTTCTTATTCCTGGGACTCACTGAATTGCTCTCCCATCTCTGCAACCCATTTTCATTATTTCGCTCCTTGCAAATGTAATGTCTTTGTACTGTAATTACTCTGTGCAATGCACAGTGTTGGAGGAAAAGATACTTAAGTCAAAGTACTGCTACTCTGAAACAAATATAAGTAAGTAAAAGCCAAAGTAACCTTCTTTAAAACTACTTGGCTATGTCTACATTGGCATGATCTTGCGCAAATACTCTTTAATGCAAGAGTTCTTGCGTTAAAGTATTTGCGCAAGAGAGCGTCTACACTGGCATGTGCCTTTGCGCAAGAGATGTGCTTTTGCGCAAGAGCATCCGTGCCAGTGTAGACGCTCTCTTGCGCAAGAAAGCTCCAATGGCCATTTTAGCCATCGGGCTTTCTTGCTCAAGAAATTGATGTTGCCTGTCTACACTGGCCTCTTGTGCAAGAACAGTTGCGCAAGCGGGCTTATTCCTGAGTGGGAGCATCATAGTTCTTGCGCAAGAAGTACTGATTTCACACATTAGAATGTCAGTGTTCTTGCGCAAGAACTCCCCACCAGTGTAGACAGACAGCATGCCAATGCTGACACGGCCCTTGAGTAAAAGCACAAAAGTATCACATCTTAATTGTACTTAAAAAAACAACAAAAGACTAACTTGGCTATCCCCTGAAGGAATTGTATTTAGGTATGCAAAAGTAAAAATTAGTTCTCTTATGGAAACCTATGCTTAACAACCCAAGTTTTTGCTGGTAACCATTATTTCTCTCTCTCACACTCACACTCACACTCTCACACACACAAAATATATAAACACTTATAATATAACTCTCTATATATTATGTATACACATATACTATACATTTTTCAATGATGGAATTTAATTATAGTCACTGCCTTCATTTATAAAGATGAAGAGTGACCAAATTAAATGTCAGATTATAGAAATGTATTTATTTTGTCCACATTCAGTGTGCGCATTTTTAGCATTTTTCCATTGTAATGATTAATTTCCAAAATGTTTGTTCAACAGTAGGAGCATTTTCTTTCTAATTATCATAGTCAATCCTTGCTCTTCTATGAAAAAATATGAGTCCATCACCACAGAAGAATCTCTCACAGGCAGCTGATGTAGGCAGAGGTCTGTTGGCCCTGATGCACAGCTCCCTAAATCTAGGAAAAGACTGCAGCAGATCCATGGTCCCTCCTGAAGAGGCCAAATACCCATCAAGATTCTTTGCAGTTTCATTGGTCTAAAATGACACAGTCTCTTTATCTTTTCTAATCCCAGTTTCATGTTTGTTCTAAGTGGTCCTAACATTTGGCATCAAGAACTATTAGCTCCGGGTTCTCAAATATTTCACCAAAACACTTCTGAATGCCATACAAGAGTCCATCTACTAGTGACCTTAAGAAGACATCTTGTTCCTTTGTAGTTTTGAAACTATCTACAGTAAAACCTGTGTTATCTGGTATGATCAGGGATTAGGGCATTCCGGTTATCTAAAAATTCCAGTTATCTGAGGGTCCCATCAAGCTAGGAAAAAACAATGGACAATAATAGTAAAACTCAGGTTTTTAATATTGGTAATTTTGTAGTGTGAGGCAGTTGGTCTCACATTTCTATTCGAGTTAAAAATTATTAGTACTCTTAAATAATAAATTGATAAGCTAATCATGGTAACCTAAGCCAGGCTTGTGCACCTGAAGAGGTGACAGTATTGTGGCTGGGGGCAATGCTGATTAACAAAGTTTTCTGGTTAACAGAGTGCTGGATAACAAAGGTTTCGCTGTAATATAATTTAAACGTAAAAAGCAAAAATGGTCTGGTAGCTCGTTATAGACTAACAAAACATATAGATGGGATCATGAGCTTTCGTGAGCACAGCCCACTTCTTCAGATGACCGGAGTATTGAGTTTAGGATGTGCAGACCCAAAATAAATAGGTCTGCATATTAGTGCTCTAGTACTGCATTCTGGGGGCCATAATATCCAGCCTGGAAGCCTAATAAAAAAGCATCACATTGGCCTCCCACTAGTCTCTGCTTGAACCACGTGGCTCATCAGACGGTTGTGGTGGATGCCAGACACATCTAAACCAGCCTGACAGCGCCCCTGTCCCCATGCTCATCGCTCCATTCATATATCGACTGGAGAACAGACAGTCCTACAGCAGGACTGCGATGGAATCATTGACACAAAAAGCATGGAAGCACTTCCTGATGGCAAATCCCTGCTCCTGATGCTAGTGACCCCTTGTCTACCTACACCCAGGTCTTTAAGTATCAGGCCAATTTTAGGAAAAAGTCCTGTAACTATGGTTTTAAATACTGAACATGGCTAATTGAGGTATGAGGACCCTCTAAGGCAGGGCTCCAGAAACAACTGCCTGTAGTCTGTAATGCTTTGGACTCCCTCCTTTCCCCTATAACAAGGCAACTTGGCACTGGTGCACTAGCCACATGGTGGAGTGGCTTCAAGGTTTCTTGCCCCCTCTTCTACACATCACTGGAGCAGGTGGGAGAGGTCTATGTTGGACTTTAGGAAAAACTATTTCACTAGTAGGGGGGGAAGCACTGGGATGGGTTCCCTAGGCAGGTGGAGGAATCTCCAGCCTTAGACGTTTTTAAGTCTCAGCTTGACAAATCCCTGGCTGGGTTGATTTAGTTGGGATTGGTCCTGCCATGGTCAGGGAGCTGGACTTGATGACCTCCTGAGGTCTCTTCCAGCTCTGTGATTCTATGACCAGCCTGTTTTGTCCTGCTGCTCCTGAACTCTGCCTTGGAGCTGCCCCCCGGCAGCCTCTTGCTTGCTGTACAAAATGTGGGAGGTACAAGAGGGGGGTGCTGATGTCAGGGTGTCCCTCCTCACCACACTCCTGTACCCTGTCACCACACAGGGAGAAGGGGCTGGAGGGAGCTTAGAAATGACACTCTCTGGCACTCTATGGTAACAGCTGCTCCTGGAAGTGGCTGGCATGTCCCTGTGGCTCCAGAGAAAATCACTGCTAGGGGTCTCCATACACTGTCCTTGGCTGCAGACACCGCTCCTGCAGCTTCCATTGATCAGTAATGGGGAACCGTGGCCAGTAGAAGCTGTGGGCTCAGTGCTTGTAGAGGAGGGGCACCAAATGGCATCATGCCAGTGGCTTTCAGGAGTGGTGCAGGGCCTGGGCCAAAATAAGCCTGCCCTAACCTCACTGGTGACACACCAGAAGCCATCACAGTTAAACGGTGCCCACCCAGAGCCTGCTTCCTGAACCCGTCCCAGCCCTGAACCCACAGATATGAGTCCCCCTGCACCCAAACTCAGTGCCAGAACTTGCAACCTGAAGACCCTCCTGGACCCCATTTTCCCACCCTGGGCTAAGGCCAGAGCCCCGCTTACACTCCAAACCCATCGGCACAAGCACAGGGCCTTCGTCCCAAACCCCTACCCCGGCCTGCTGCAAGTGATTGAGGTTGGGGGAAGAAGAGGGTTGCAGTGAGCATGGTGAGGCCTCAAAGAAGGGGCAGAGGAATGGCAGGGCCTCAAAGAGGGGCTGGAATGAAGTGGAGCACGGGTATTTCGGTTTGAGGAACATCTTATGTTGCACTTACATTGGAAAAGCGATCTTGCAGTGAAAAAGGTCGGAGAGCAATGTTATAAGGAGTGTAAGGTGGGAGAACACCAAAATTTAAAAAATGGATTTAAAGAGGGCAGAAGAAACTGCTCCTGTAAGAAAATACTGTAAGTGTCACTTTCTTACAGGACCAGTGAGAAAGTCCTAGTGGAGTTAGGACATTCCTATGGGGAACAGTTACTTAGTCTGCAGTGTAAGAAACTGCTGCCTCTCAAACCCTAAGACCTAGCAAATTTCCATTCACTGCTGGAGTGAGAAAGTCTGAGTGGAGGTAGGACATTCCTATACGGAACAATTACTTAGTCTGCAGTATAACAAACTGCTACCCTCTCAAACCCTAAAGCTTCGTCTATACTGTGCATTGTTGTGCAAGAAGATATGCAAATGAGGTGCATGCTTCATTTGCATACATAATGAGCCTTCATTTTGCAGAAAGGGGTTTTGTGCAAGGAACTGTTTACACTATTCCTTCTTGCACAAAAAACGCCTCTTGTGCAGAAGCCATTCTGCCTGAAAATAAGCAGCAGAACGGCTCCTGCACAAGAGGGTTTTTTTGTGAAAAGAGTACTGCAGACAGCTCCTTCTTGTGCAAAAACTCCTTCCGCAAAAATGACGGCTCATTAGGTATGCAAATGAGCTGCGGTGCAATGCACAGTGTAGGCGTAGCCTAAGGTTGATTCAGGTCTAGCAAATTCCTGGAGTTCAGACCAACAATGACATTTGCTTTTTTGGGGGACTTTTACAGAGCCTTTTACACTTTCATTAAAAGCATTTATAAGTGCACTTGTGTTATTTGGTTAGAGCTGTGTTTCTCAACCAGTGGTATGTCTGGGGGGTACTTCAGCACAACTGAAATTTGGAGAAAACCGAATTTATGTTTTAAATTTTACAGCATTTTATTATTTTTGTACTTTTTACACGAAAAATGTCGTCTTCTGCCCGCTACAATTAAGTTGTTTAACAAATGCATTGCAATGGTAGAAAAAAATGGTGTGTCTGAAAACTGTAGGTACTGGGGGTACTTCTAATTTTTTTAAAGGGGGTACTTATACTTTTGGGGGGGCCGAAAGGTTCAGCAAAGATGAAAGTGATACTTCCAGTAGGAGTTGCTTACAGTAGCAATTTCTTATTTCTGGAAATCAGAAACTGCCCCCAGGAGCGCAATCCTACAGGGAGCTGTTTTCAACACAGAAATGTTGGGCACTGCTGCATGTAGGATTGTGCTGCCACTAGCAGCTGCTTCCCACAGTAGCACTTCCTTACGATCATACCAAGTGCTACCTGTAGCACATTCCTATAAAGTAGGAGCTTTCGACATTACAGCGGCCTGCCTGCTTGCCTGCCATTTGTGGGAGAGAAGGCGACAGGCTGCATGGCTCTGTTGGCCGGGATCTAGCGCTCTGCAGATAAGCTTCCCGCAGCAAGGCCGACCTGGGCATGCGCCAGCCTTGGGAACGGGGGCCAGGCTCCCTGAGCAGCGTGGGAGACCAGGGCACTAGCGCAAAGGGCCGTGAGAGCCTCGGACACAGCAGGCCCCCTGCTGCAGCAACAACCCTGCTGGCTCCCAGCTGGAGGCCTCCGGAAAGGGCCTATGGGCCCCTGGCAGCACTTTCCCAGCTCACTGTGGGACGGAGCTACAGGACAGACGCACCAGCCTGGCCCGCCCAACCCTCGCTCAGTGTGCGCAGGTGAGGCTCTGTGGCTCCCCGGGGTGCTCCCAGGAGAGCCCACGGGCCTGCGGAGCAGCAGCCCCCCAACACTGGGCCCCGGGGCAGAGGAGAGACTAGGGGGCCCAGGGCAGAGCTGCAGGTACTCACGGGTGTGGGTGTAAATGCACCAGAGTGCCGCGGTGAGGAGGGTGCCGATGAGGAACGCTGCGAAGGTGATCCCCACGACCGCTTCGATCCCTAGGCCTGGAGCCGCGCAGGAGACCAGCAGCCACGGGCAAGGAGAGAAGAGCAGGGACAGCAGTCAGCACGTTTCCCCACACAGCTGCCCCCTCTGCTGCTCTGTGGCAAAGACCCCCAAGCCTCTGGCCGGGCTAACGCTCCCTGGCGCCGCCCCGCCCTGGTAAAGCCTTCCCGTCCTTGTGACAGGGCAGCCCCCTTCCCACGCAGGCACCTGCTAGCTCAGGAAAGAGCCAAGGAGAAAGCAAGTGAGAACTGGACAGCCAAGCCATGAGCCGGGCAGGCTGGAAGGCCTGTGAATGCCACGTTTGCAGGGGCTCTGTGCCCCTATCACAACCGGCCTGGCAGCTCACAGGCTGGGCAGTGGTCTGAGAGCCAGGCACCAACCCCGCCAGGCAATGGGAAGGGAGGGCTGGCCCCAAGCCTGCCAGTGACCTGCAATTAGCCTGTCAGAGGGTGACAGACAACGAGCCAGCGAAGTGTAGGGCTAAGTGGCCTTCTCCTTAGCACCTGGATATCAGCCTGATTCTGCCCCTTTCCGCCACTGGGGGTGCAGGAAACACGCTTTAGAACTGGCCAGTGGCAGGTTTCTCCACAAGCAGCCGGCTCATCCCCTCTCCTGGGGCCGCGCTGCCCTGCAACCCACCACACGCTCGGGCCATTCCCCCCTGTGCTCGCTCCGGGGCGCCGTAGTGAAATGCAGCCGCCTCGAGGTGCGGGCATGGCGGCAGTTTGGCAGCACACGGCCTGCACTGCTGGTGGGGGGTCTGCATGGGGTTCACAGGGCGTGTCTGGCCGTGGAACCCACATGGAAGACTTCCCGGCAGGCTGAATGATGGGGGCGGGGGCGGACACACTTTAGGAACTTTCATGGGCACAGGCAGGCAGAACGTCAACGCTCATCTCCACTGCCTCAGCAACACAGCACCCCACGGCCACCCCGGGGCACAGGCTTAATACGGGCCTGGAGGTGAGTTGCACTGGCGCTGCCTGCAGCGCCTGGCCGGGACCCTCGCTAGGGCTTGTTTATATGGTGCTTGCTCGGGTCTCTCCGTGCACTGGAGCCCCACTGTGCTCAGGAGGTTGGGTCAGCCAGGCAGACAGATGGTTTCCTAATGGCTCCTGGACTCCTCTCAGCTGCTGATTCCAGCGCCGAGAGGAGCAGCAGCTGCTCCCTAGGACTGTGTCCGGGCTGCCTGGCTGTGAGACGTGTGTGCTGGAGAGGGTGATGTGCGGGGCGAATTCCAGTCAGGGCTCGCCTGGGTCAAAAGCCTTTCCCGGCTTTGTTGTGCTGCCGTCCTGGGGGAGCTGAGCAAACAGAGGCAGGAAGAGGGGACCAAGGTGGGAGGAAAGCAGGAAATCATCCATTCTTGGATGGGGCTGAAGATTCATTCCTGCCTGGCAAGGATTCAGCTGGGCAGGAAGACGGGCCACGCTCCCGCGCCTGGTGCTACTGCAAAAATCACCGCCATGGCGAGGCAGCAGGACGCCTGTCGCGGCTGCTCAGAGGATTCAGCCAGAGGAGCTGGCGCAGCCAGGAAACTGCTTCTCAGGAGGGGCAGAAATCACCTATTGACACCCCTACGTTTGGCTCCTTTGGGAGCAACTGCCCCATGCCAGAGGCCCCAGCAAGCTCCCCGTCATGCTCCCCTCACACAGCAACCCCAGCCCCAGCGCTTCAGTAATCAAGAGCCAGGGTCCCCCTGAAATCAGATCTGAAATCTCACCCACTCTAGGCTCTGCCTACTGGTTGGGAGGCCTCAGGAAAGCTGAGCCTGTCACCTCCAGCCTAGGGCTCCGGGGCTGGAGCTTGAAGACACACTCTAACCTCATGCCATGTGTGCTACAAAGTCCAGGCTTGGCCATGCTGCATTTGTCTAGCCGGCCACATCCTCCTAAGAGCTTCTCCCACACACAGATGCAGAGTTCCAGAATTGCGGGGGGTGGGGAGATACAAACGGCTTGGTCGATACTAACTGCGGATGCAAAACTGGATTATATGCTCCTACATCCACATGGCATCCTGCATTCAGAACAACCAAAGGACACGTTACAAACTCTAGCTAAAGGAATAATGAAATGCAGCTACCTCTGGGGTGGAACACAGCTGCTTTTTAACAGCAACATAGGAAGGCAACACAAGAATTTGGGACAGGAAGTCATGGATACTGCATCCAATTGCCAACAGACTCTTGGCTGAGTTCTCTCCAAGTCAGGCTGTTTCTTATCATGCCAAGACAGTTTACAAAGGCTCTGGCTCATATCAAACTGTTTTCCTTCCCACCCCCTGCAGCCTGTCATCCTGCACTGACAACTGATGCCCCTTCCCTGCACACAACTTCCTGTAGGTCAGTGCCTGGCCCAGCTGCCTGGAGACTGACTAATAGCACATGGCACACAACAGCCCCAGCAGAGAAAGCAGCACAAGGGTAAATGACAGGAAGGAAGCGGCCAGGAATTCGATAAGTGCCCGAGGGATGTGGATAAATCTGTGCTAGTTTTGGGACTCAGGCCCAGCCTGGCTCCTCTCCCCCTAAGATGAAGGCATCTCACTTGCTGGAGATGCCAGCGTCCAGGCTGCCTGGTCTATGGAGTTCGGAAGCCTTGTCCATATCTCATGTGCTAGCAAGGTCTCTCAGTCATTCAAGTGCCCCCCATTTGGGTCCCCATTAGCCCTGGGTCCTGCTATCCCATGCTGGAGTCCCAGTTACATGGAGTCCCAGTGGTGATGGCTCCTTTCCCCACTCACTGCCCATTTCTCTCTTGTCCATTCACCCCGCCCCTCCCATTCTCCAGCCGAGGGAAGATGCTGACCCTGCCAGGAGCACCTGCCACTGGGCAAGCACTGTGGGACTCTATTCCCTCCCGCACCACAGCCAGGCTATTCATTGCCCTGCCACTGGGCAAGCACTGTGGGACTCTCTATTCCCTCCCACCCCACAGCCAGGCTGGCAGGAGCGCAGGCTGGGCTCTGTGCCGATCCAACCCCACCGCCTGGCTCAGCTCCGGCCTGAGGGGACACGACAAGGAGATCGCAAACTCACTCTGAGCAGGGGTATCCTGCAGCGTCACCTTTAACGATGCTTCTGCCGTGGTGCTGCCCTGGGATTTTGAGAAGAAAAACCAGAGGGTGAAGCTGAGGTGAGCCCATCTCTGGCCCTGGATCTCCCAGCAGCCCGTCACAAGGCTCTCGCAGGAGGGACGAGCACCTATCGTCACCCTGGGAGGAGACCCCTGGCCTTGTGGCAAAGGTGCAGGGCAGGGAAGCAAGACACCTGGATCTTTGCTACAGGATCCAGGTCCGCAGGAGCCAGGACAGGGGGTTCATTCCCCTCCCAGGGGCTAAATTTCTTCCTCTGTAAATAGGGAGACTGGTGGGAAGCCTGATTCGGCCCCGTTTGTAAAGGACATTGACTCTTGGCAGTAGATACACAGTGTAAGAGCGGCCAAAGGTCCCTCTAGCTCAGTGTCCTGTCTGCTGACAGTGGCCAATGCCTGATGCCCCAGAGGGAGTGAACAGAACAGGGAATCATCAAGTGATCCATCCTGTTCCCAGTTTCTGACACAGAGGCTGGGACACCATCTCTGTCCATTCTGGCTAATAGCCATTGAATTTATCTAGTTCTTTTGTGAATCTTATTAAAATCCCAGTCGTCACAACATCCTCTGGCAAAGACTTCCACAGCTTGACTATCTGTTGTGTGAAGAAAAACTTCATTTTGTTTGTTTTAATCCTGATTCCCATTGATGTCATTTGGTGACTCCTAGCTCTTGTGTTATGGGAACAACTGTTCCTGCCTTACTTTTTCCACACCAGTCATGATTTTATAACCCTTGGACATATCCCTGCTTAGTCTCCTCTTTATGTTAGAAAGTCCCAGTTATTAATCTCTGCTCTTATGGGACCCGTTCCAAATCCCTAATCATTTTTGTTGCCCTTTTCTGAACCTTTTGCAGTGTCAAGAGATCTTTTTGAGATGAGGTGACCACATCTGCGTGCAGTATTCAAGATGTGGACGCACCATGGTTTTATGCGGAGGCAATAAGATATTCTCTGTCTTATTCTCTATCCCTTTTGTAATGATTCCTAACATTCTGTTTGCTTTTTTGGCCTCCACCGCACACTGGGTGGATGTGGAGATTTCCCCTTCACCTCCCTGGCCACAGCTCCCTTGGGATCAAAGAGGCAACTTCACACCTGACTTGTGCCCCGGGGAAAGGCTGTGGCAGTGGCATGGAGGCAGGGACACTGGGGCTAGTCTGCACACACTGGATGGCCTCTGGGCTTGGCAGGAGCTAGGCCCCGTTAACCCCCCAACACACTCTTGTGCGTATGTTGTGTGGTCCTGAGCAGTGGGAGAAAGCTGCACATTGGCAGGCAGCTGGCAGGAGATTGGAAGGGATTCCTCAAACCTCTCAGCGGAACCTCTAGACCCCTCGCTTGACTGATGGGAAGAGTCCTGGCCCAGGCCCAGGCCACAAGGCCAGTGGGGGGTGCCCGTGAAGGAGATGGCCCCAATACTCACGTTGGTCAGTGTGCACACCAGCGTGGCACAAGGAGGCAAGGGCCGTCCGCCCGCCGGGGTGTAGACAAGGCTGAACTGATGGAGCTCCCGGCCCAGAGTGGCCTCTTTCGGTGGGAGGATGGTCACTGCTTTGCCGTGTGATGCGCCAGGCGAGAGCAGGAGCCGCTGAGGCTCCTGGGTAGCCACCTGCACAGAACACTCCTTCACCATCAGATTGGTCTGGGCATTCGATGACCGAAAGGAGATCTGCAGAGGGCAGCAGGAGAGCAAGAGTCTGGTTAGCGGGTCTCAGGGGCTGTGCTTATTGGGCCCCCCCGAGTACTGGATGAGGGTTAGAGGGGGCAAGCCAGCTCTGATCACCATTCTCCAGCTCAGGGGCTTCCCCAGGGATGAGTACGATCACACACCAGCCTGGGAGGGAGTTGGACACCATGAAGTTCTGTCCACGCTGGAATCAGAACGGGCAACTTAAACCGTGTTTAGACACAGCCGGCATGGCAGAGCTGTGGAAGGGTTTCAGTCACCGGCACGGTTCTTCCCCACCCCAATGGACCTTACCCACCAGAACCACCGTAACACAACTGTCTAGCCCACGATAAGAACAGCCCAGCTGGGTCAGACCAAAGGTCCATCTAGCCCAGTGTCCTGTCTGCCGACAGTGGCCAGGGCCAGGTGCTACAGAGGGAATGAACAGAACAGGGAAACATCAAGTGAACCAGCCCTGTTGCCCATTCCCAGCTTCTGCAAAACAGGCTCTGGACACTATTCCTGCCCAGCCCGACTAAGAGCCTAACCTGCATGAACTTATCTACTTCTTTTTTTAACCCTGTCATAGTCTTGGCCTTCACAACATCCTTTGGCAAGGAGTTCCACAGGTGAGGAGTGTCTTTCTCCTTCTCACTCAGGGGCCATATCAGTGACAAGATTTTTTTTGTTTTGCTTCTCACTTGTGTGTGGCCCCCAACTGAATTTTCTGTAGGTCAGTGGCCCCCAATCCAAAAAAAAAAAAAAGGCTTTGCATCCCTGCTGTTTTTAAAAAGTTTCAATGAAGCTTACAGAGCGTTCACATTTTGCACTGTATCTTTTAATTTCTGTTTAACTAGCCTCCTCAGTTTTGTGCAGTTCCCTTTCCTGCAATTAAATGCAATAGTGCTGGGCTGCTGTGGCGACCATGGAGGTGACGTTTCAAAGGGTCAGTGAAACCCAGGGTCAGCTGGGGACTCCTCCGCTGACCCCGGGCTCGTAGCGGCATGCAGCGTAGCATGGAGCCCGAGGTCAGTGCGGGACTCTGAGTCCGCGGCTGACCTCGGGTTCCATGGCTTTGAAACACACTGGAGCCCCTGCTGGGGACTCTTGTGCATTTCAAAACAGGCACCCGCGTGCAGCCAGGAGTCAGCGGGACTTCCCGCTGGCCCTGGGCTGTACGCAGACCGCCACCGCGGCCGGGGGGGGGGGGGGGGGGGGCTCTTGTACATTTCAAAGGAGGAATGCGGAAGTGCCTGTCGACTGGCCAATTAACCACATTTTAACACCCTTTGTCTACACTGCTACTAGGGGCTGGGCGGGCACAGGCCTGCCTGCGTGGCTCCCCACCTCGGACTGACGAGCGGGGCCTGGAGCGGGGAGACGCACTGAGCAGCTGTCACACATTCCCTGGTGGCTGTCAGACACTGGAGGCCGGTGTCCTGATGGCAGGAGCAGCCTCGGTCAGATGGTAGCGGGAGCAAGGCTGGCTGGGGTAAGGAGGTGGCACAAGAGGGAATTTGGGACTGGTCAGATGGCCCAGGAGCAGGTCCTCGCTCCATGCTTGGCCTGGCGATTAGCTCTCCCACAGCGTGCACGTCCAAGGCACTGCTGTGCCCCTCCCCATCTGTGCGGCTTGTGTGAGAAGCGCGAGGCAGGGGAGTGCTGCGAGCGCCTTGCCACGCCAGCTCTACCGACAACCCTTCATCCTGAGCTGCAGCCTCATCCCCGTCCACGTGGCTAGTCCTGGCCTGGCCTCCGTCACAGGGCGTCGGCTCAGCTACCCGCTGTGCCTGGCCCCCTCACGTGGTCTCTTGTTCGCTGCAGACACCCAATATGCTTCTTTTGCCCTCTACACCTTTGATTTTTCAGTGGCAAACGCTGCGGCACTCAGCACAGGCGTGTGTCCGGAAGAGCTGCCCACCCAGCCTTCTCTGCTGGGCCTACCTCGCTCTCCCAGCCTGCCCGCACATGCCTGCTCCTGCCCATAGATGGTTTCCCCGACTGGGCTAATTACCTCAGCAGATCAACCATCCCTCCCCTAGGCCAGTGGTCCCCATTATCCCTAGTTCATTGGTTCCAGTTACACCTGTAATTGTCTGTCAGGAAATTAGCTAAGTGACTGGGATGGGGTGGGGCTACACCTGTCATAGCCCCACACATCTCTGCCAGAACCCCTCAGTGTGGAGCTGTAGCACCCTGTTATTCCAGGCCGTGGCTCCCATGGTTCTACCAAAATCCCTCAGGCCTGGCTCGCGCTGCCTCAGCGCGTAATTGTGGGCATCTACACTGCTGTGGCGATGCCGCTAACACTTGGTTTTAAGCCTCTCCAGTTAGTGCTGGCCTGGGCCTCTCAGCCAAACCTGGCCAAGCGGGACTTGTTCAAGGAGGCACACAAATGAATTTGTCTCAGATCCCCAGGAGGGTTTCATCTCAGCTTCCCAGGGGTGAGAAGCGACTGCACTAACTGGCCATTCCCAAGGCGCCGCCCGCTCTCTGGACATAGCAGGGAACAAACAAACCAAGCTCCAGGGACGGGCTGGGCAAAACCATTCTCCAAGTGGCAAGGAGTCTTCTAGCTCCTTGCACAGCTTCACGCGCCCAGCCTGGCCAAGCCTGGTGCCAGCCAGGCCCAAAGAGGGCAGGAGCGATGCCCAGTACCTGGACGTAAGCAGTTTTGTTGACTTGCAGCACGGTAGTAGATGGCCACTTGAAGTCCTGGGTCTGGTAAAGCTGCAGCTGGGGCTCCTGAGGCAGCTCGCAGCTGAACTCCACCTATGAGGGAAAGGCACAGGGCTCAACTCCAGGCCACTGTTTCCATAGGCCCCTAGTGGGTGCTGGTTCAGCCAAGTGTATTGGGATTTGCTCTGCTGGATCACTGGCATCTCTGGAGGAATCTAAGCTCCTTAGGCCTTGCACTGAAGGGCCCTCAGGAATACGCAGAGAAGTTTATTTTAGTGACAATTGAAATCCCCCCCATGCAGCATCCCAGCGAGCTACTGCATAGGAAACCCTTACTGCTCCCCACAGCCCCCAGAACAGTCGTGCCAGAAACTCGGGTGTCTGGCTCCTGGGCTCACCTTTGGCCTCCCCCGGCAACTGAAGAGTGAAGTTGTGGAAGAAGCGTGTGCTTAATTCCCCATCAGAGCCATGCCCAGAGGGGTTAGGCAGCTGGACAACAGGTTCTAGGCCTCAGAGGGGGTTACCAGACAGAGGGTCTCTGCACTGAGATCACACCGAGGGACCCTGAGATTGGGGCAGTGGCTGGATTCTATTCAGGTTCCTGGTTGACACACCAGCTTGGATTCCCCTCCCAGCAGAACTAGGGTAACTAGAAGGGGGCACTTGCTGGAACTGTCACCAGCAGTGTTCCCTGTACGCTGGGCTCTTATGCAGCCACTCAGGAGATATTATAATGCTGCCCAGCTGATTAGCAGAGCACCCACAGCTAGGTTTTGTGTTTCTATTCACACATGCCTTGGTGCACATAAAAATGTATTCCGCATATGGATGGAAAGGATTATTAGAGGGAACATTGGTCACAGTCAGCCCCCTGGAAGGGAGGGCCTCGAACGCTTTGTGGTCTGCACAATGCTGCCCTCTCGGTCACTTCCAGCTGAGTCATGACAAAGGGCAGACGGTTTCTCATCCCTGGGATGGGTTTTGCTATCAATCCCCTAGCAGGGCGGGGGAAGGAAGACTGTTCCCTTGTCACCCAGATTTCCCTGGGGCAGTAAGAAGGAGCAAAGCATGAATGAACGAGAGAAAGAAAAGAAGGAAAGAATCTTCTCAAATCATGGCCTGGGATCCTGCTGCCCAGAGGGAACACTCCAGACCTGGTTCTCCTCTCTGAAATAGCTTGTGGTACATCTACACAGCAGCATCTACACTACAAGCCTTTATTCTGAAATAATGTTGAGCTGGAGAACTGCTTACTCCGACTCCTGTAACCCCATTTCAGGAGGAGCAAGGGAAGTTGGAGGAAGAGTGTTCATCCTTCGACTTCGTGATGTGCAGACAGCTTCAAAAGCTGAATTAAGCTATTTCGACTTAAGCTACGCAACTGACATAGCCCAAGTTGTGTAGCTTAGTTCTTTAGCCCTGTTGTGTCGACGCACCCTTGGAAACTTGGAGATTAAAAATCAAACAACTCCTCTTACCTCAACTTTCTTCATGGATGCAGCCAGTGTCAGGATCAGCTGTGAACACAAAGAGAAGGGAAAAACCATGAGACTCTGGAGAGCAGCTCACAGAACTCATGCAGCCCATAGTGTTCTAGCTCCTGGTCCCCAAAAAGCCACATGTGGCATCTTCCAGAGGAGACAGCCAATATCTTGGCGGTGGGGAGAAAAAGGTTACAACTCCAGAAGGCAGCATGGTTTCTAGCTCTGGGTCTGACATGTAGCTTTGTATGCTCGGATTTGCAGTCTCCGCTCACTACCTCTGGATTAAAAGCAATGCTGGGAGCAGCCTATTGGTCTCCAAATTCAGGTTTTGCTCTTGCAAGACACTGAGCAGGCTCAACCTCCAAAAAAGCTCAAAGGATTCTCAGCACCACACCAAGTCAGGCCCTAGCGACTGCCCTCAGGGCACTCAGTTGAGCTAGGCTGGGGCACCCCTGCTAGCTGGAGACACACAGACGAAGATCAGTCCGTTGCTGGCATTCCTAGGGACGATGTGAAACATGACCGATTTTGGAAGCACCTGAGTCCATTTCCGAGGCTTACTGGAAGTAACGGACATAAGTAATGGTGCACCTGCCAAGAACAGCATTTAATTACCAGAAATTGCTATGGATACAGCATGGCAATTCTTAATGGCATCAAGGGTTTGCCGTCTTTTCTAAAGGGCCTCACACCCTTCCTCAGGACATCATGGCCTTCCTTATACACATTTGTTAATTAACAGGACGGTTTGGTTCCATTCCTGTAAAGCCAGGTTCTAGCGCAAAAAGCAAGCAGGCAGAAAAGGCACCTTGTGACTAAGCCCATTTGCTGCCTGCATGGAGAGACTCATATCTGCGTATTCTAGTGCCAAAGATATCTGTGTATTTCACTGCTCTTGGCCTGTCTCAGCCCTGCAGACCCGTTCGGCCCTGAGAGATGGAGTGGGAGGCTGTTCTTGGCTCGTGCATTGGCGAGCAAGTGGCAGTCATGGTGCAGAGTTGGCAGGCCGATAAAAACAACAGTGTTTTGCTTAGACACTGAGCACGTCTTCCACAGAAATGAGGCAAGAGAGCAGGTTCCTGTCAGTGAGCATTAGTGGTGCGTAGGCAGAGTCCTTTGGGAGGTAGCTTTCCAGGGCAGGAGACACATATGCCCGTTTACACTGCTATAAAAATAATAGTCCAGTTGGCTGGGCACAGGAAATTGATCAGGCTGGGCTGCACACCAGTCTTACACTTGCCAGCCTCAGCTGTCTCAAGCTGATCACTTGCCACAAACAACAGCTCCTAGTGGCTTCATTCCAGGAAGGCAATTTGTTTATTTCATGGACCTTGCCCAAATGCACTTCAGTTAGCAAAGGCTGAGCAGGCAACTAAGGATGGTTTAGTAGGTGGCCTTCCCCACCAAGTGCCTCACTTAGAGCAAATGTGATTTTCCTTCAGTTACTAGGAGCCTACAAGCACCATCTAACAGCATGGATAATGAAGTGGAGAAATCTGCATGGGTATGCAGAACACTGGCATGTCACTCAAGACATCATGAGCACATCCCTCTAGCTGATTGGCCCACAGCAGGATTATTAAGACAGCCTGATTTTCAAAAGGGCTGAGCACCCCCCCACAGCTAACAGTGACTGGCGTTAGTGGAATTGGTAATCCGCTGTTCTGAAAATCAGGCCAAGAGTGCACTAGAAAAGGGGGCTGGAAGTAAGTGAAATACCAGCTAGAAGTCCAGTGGCTCCCATGGAAAGCAATGGCCAAACATTCCTTCGGTGAGGGCAGACATGGGTTCCAACAAACCCAGGTTGTGAAATGCACCAGGATATTCTTTGATGTCTGACGGTGACAAAGTCTCAGTGAAGCACGCCTGATCGATTCTGTGCAGCAGGAAACTCTGAGCAACACACCAGGAATCAGTGTGGTGGGGAAGGGGCAGACAGTAACACAAAGCTGTTCATGAGAGTAAGAGTGTAGACAGTAGCTCCATTTGGATAATCACTGACCTTGTTACTGGCCTTGGCTTCACTCTCCAGTGTGGTGTTGCAGTCCCCCAAATACCTTTTCAACACAAAGTGCGTTTTGTTTGGTTCAGCTTTGCAGCCGGTGTCTCGCAATGTGATAGCCGTGATGTCCTCTTTTAAATACTAAGAGAACAATACCACCTGTTACTGGCAGAATCCCACACCCCCCCGCCCCACACCCCTGCTCGTGGAAAACATGTTGCTGGCTCCTCTGCTGCTTCTCTCCCTACTCCATAGGGGCAGAGTAAGGCCCCAGCTCCCAAAGATCAGACACAGCAAGAAACCAAGAGCCCAGCTCTGTAAGGTCCTGAACCCTCCTCCCGCAAGGCCCAGTTCTGCACCCACTGTGCCATCCGGCACTTGTGAAGCCCACGTCCTGCAGCATGTTACTCGCCTCTGTGCTCCTCGGCACGGCTATCTCCATGGTGTCATCAGTACACTTCCATGGGGTGTTCAGACTGACATATGCTTGAATAAGAATGTCCTGGAGATCTTGCATAGGGGGTGTGTGTATCAGTGTTGGTGTCGTCGGCGTCGCTTCTGCTCCTGTAGAAACCAACATCAGGAGAGCATTGGGCAGGGCTGGAATGGCTCCGTCCCCTCAGCAGGAGCAAGCTGTGTGAAATCTGAGGTGGACACTTGCTCACAGGCATCTGGACAGTGGCTCACCAAGCAGCCAGCAGAGGACAACTGAGCTGGGCTGGAGCTGAGCCCAGGTCCACCAACAGGGCAAAGGAGGGCAAAGGGAACAACTTCCCCCAGGGCCTGGTGCTACAAAAGGGCTGGGAGTGCTCCTATTGCAGCAGTGATGGCAGCTAGAACCCCAGGCCCTTTAAATTGCTGCTGGAGCACCATGTGCTGTCTTGGGGGCTGCCTGCGGAGGTGGGGGTGCTGCATGATGCACCCCAGGTAGCACTGAGGATGGGGGGGGGGCACTGTGGTCTGGCTGGCTGCCCCAGCCCAGGCTCTTCTGCCCAAGCCCAGGGGCATGGAGCAGGGTCCCCCGCACCTTGCCTAGGGCCTGATGAGGCTGTAGCCCCACTGGCAGAGTCAGTAACCATGGGGGTGACAGGCTCTGCAGCCTCCTAATCCATGTGGCAATTTTGCCCATGGGCCTCCAGGGTGTGTCTACACTGAGATTTCATGGGCTCCCATGGGCTCACACTACAGGACGGCTTGGTTGTGGCACAGACCTCACTATGGGTCCTGAGCTGGAATGCGACACTGCCCTTAAACAGCCCAAGGGCCAGGCCGGGCATCTCATTGCAGTGCAGACGTACCCTGAGAGCCTGCCTGACAACTGAGTCAGGCTGAGCCCCAGGCAGCGTATAGTGTGGACTCACCACATCGGTGCAGCTCAATGGTCAGGTGGCTTGCAGATGGGATGTCTCTATAGAAAGCTACGTCACCAAAGTCTTTCTCGTGGGCCAAGCCAGTCAGGCCTTCCTCATTGTCAGGAAGGGCTCTGCCATTCATTTGCATGTCGGGAAATGTGGACAACCAGTATTTCCCACGTGTCTGTACAAGGAGAAGAGGGAGGAGAGAGAATTAGGAGGAAGGGAGATGGAGAAGACAGGAACTGATGTGCTAGATCAGGGCTCTCCAATCTTTTTAACCACAAGATCACGCTTTCAATTTAAGTGCAATGTAAGATCTACCTCAAACCCAAATACCCTTGTCCGGCTTCCTTCCCCACCTATTCTGAGGCCCTGCTCTGCTCCACCCCTTCTCCGAGGCCTCACCCTGCTCATTCCATCCCCCTTCTTCCCTGAATCTCATTCACTTTCACCAGGCTGGGTAGGGAGTTGGGATGCAGGCTCTGGTCTTGGGCTAAGGGGTTCAGAGTGTGGGAGGGGACTCCCTGAAGGCAGAGCGGTGGGGTAGGTTCTGGAGTGGACTACGGGATAGGGCATTTGCCTGGGGAGTACAGGGTGGGGGCTTAAGTCCCTCCCCTCCCCTCTATCTACCCTGCGATCAGCCAGGTAACAGTCAATACAGGCTACCTGCTCCAGGGATGGAGCTGGCTCCCCCATTAGGAAAGCAGGGTAAGGGACCTGCTGAAGATCAGGAGGTGGGGTGGGTTCTGGAGTGCCCTAGGGGAGACGGCATCGAGCGTCTTGAGCACAAGGTGGTGGACTCAAGTTCCCCATGGTCCCCACTCAGGCAGTGCCCTGGCAGCCAACACCAGTTGCCCCAGGGATGGAGCTGGCACCTGCATTAGGAAGGCAGGCTAAAAAATACCCTGAAAGTAAGGTGATGGGCTGGGTTCTTGAGTGGACCAGGGGATATGGCATTGGCCTGGGGAGTGCAGAGTCCTGCCCCCCTTCCTGCCCTGGGAACAACCAGATAGCCAATGCAAGACAAGGGACCCCCTGATGGCAGGGAGGGAGTGTGGGCTCTTGAGTGGAGCAGTGGGATAGGGCATTTGCCTGGGGAGCACAGGGCTCAAGGCTTGAGTCCCACACGCCACCCTGGAGCAGACAGCCAGCCAACACAGGCTGCCCCAGGGATAGAATTGGCTCCCACATTAGGAAAGCAGGATAAGGGACCATCTGAAGGTAGAGAAGTGGGGTGAGTTCTGGAGTGGTCTATCATCTAGCACATTTGCCTGGGGAGTGCAGGGCTATGAGTTCAAGTCCCACCCTAGGCACAGCCAAGGCAGGTCCCCCCTGGCCCTGCACCACCCTGCAAAGCAGCTGACTTGTACAGCAGTGGCTCTATGTGCTGCCCCTCACATACAGGCTCTAATCCCTCAGCTTCCACTGGCCAGTTCTGTTATTGATCAATGGGAGCTGCAGGAGTGGGTGGCCACAGGCCAGAAGAGCCCGCTGCAGGGACTTGTCAGCCACCTCCAGGAGCAGCACAATCACTACAGGGATAAGTACTCCAGACATGACAGGTTAGGCATCTTAGAACTCACATGCTCTCTCTGTGCCAGCCATAGGAGAGGGCAGCTTGCCCCAGCAAGGGGAAGGTGTTCCCCAACACCTGAATACTGCTTCTTACTTTAACCTCTGTGTTGCTGGCAGGTTCAGTTCCACCTTTCTTCTGAGTCTCGGCTCGGCCAGAGGTCCTGGCCACTTGTAGCCTTTAAAAATCCCAGGATGCTTTTCACAGAGAATAGGGTTGTTAAGCTTGTTAAGTCCTGGCCAACTTCTCCCCCAAAGACATTCTGCTTCCCTAAACTCCTCTTGCTGTTGCAGTTGGACATAGAAGTCTCCACTCCCCAACCTGGATTGCACGGCAGCACTGCTGTGTGTTCTAAACCAGCACCCATGTTCCACCCCAGAGGTGGCTGTTTTTCAGGTGGGTAGCCCGAGGGTTGCCAGTTTCCCTGACCAGATGGACTAAATGCCATTGCCATGAATGGCACCTGGTCTGTCTGGCTGGGAAAGATGGCGAGCCTAGGGCCAACATTTGAGTTGAAAGGCATCGTAGAAATATGAGCTTTCTGTCAGCATTTCTTTCCAGCCTTACCAAAATGGCCCCGTTGTTTTTCATATCAACCCTCCAGGTCACGTTCTCTTGGCTTTGGAGGATCAGCAGTATTTCCAGATCTTGCAGCAGCTTTGCTTCAGGACAGACCACATTCACCTTCACTTTCACCATCCCAGGCTGAAAGCTACAGTGCAAAGCCCAAAATCAACCAATGGACTCACGAACCAACATGGCCTCCCTCCCACTGTGGTTAGTCCACCCTCCAGCTGCCTGAAGGCAGCTATCACAGCCCCGACAAAGCCCTCCAAAGGCAGGCCCCTCCTGCTAACAGCCCCTCAGTCAACATTAGAGCCTCTCACACCCCGAGATGTCAATCCCTGGCTCTTGCCACCACCAAAAATGCCATCGGGGCCTCTCTTCTTCTGTCCCGCGCACACACTGGGCCTACCCAGAGAGGAACTTGTTGTCACTGGAGGCCGGGTAGAGTGGGTGGGTTTCCAGACCCTACACACCTTCCTTTCCCAGCCCCACAGACTTCTCATCCTACCAACCTCACAGTCTCTCAAGCCAAGCCTCCCTTACCTGGGGACTGTCACCCTCCATCAAAGAGGAAGACACTCCATGCTCCTTCTTCACCCTCTCACAAGGTGCCATCCCCTTCCAGACCACACCCTGGCTCAGCTCTCACTCTGCCCAGCCCTGCACCCCACACACCAAGGGCAGGACCCTTGTAATCACTCCCACCACTGCAGGGCTCTTTGTTGTAGCAAAGAGAACCCCCCCCCTTCTCCAAATCACCCCTAACCACCTTCCCCCTTGCACTGACCTCCCACACCCACAGCTCCCTCCCCAGAGCTCACAGGCCCCAATCCCACCTCGACCTGCACCGCGCGCACTGCAAAGTCCCACTGCATGCACCCCTGGCTGCGCAGTGAGCGTAGCTAACCTGCAGTATGGTTCTCAGCCCAACTGCTGGGGCTGCCTTTTAAAGGGCATCCCTCCTGCCAAGGAAAGAGCCTGCCCCAGAGGCCTGCAGCCAGCCTCAGGCGTACTCTGATGGGGAAGCCCAGGCGGCGAAGGCTCTGTCTCCCTCCCCTTGCTAGATGACAGGATTGGCAGCACGCCAGTTACCTGGTCTCCTTTGGGGCCTGCTTCATATGCAAGATGTGTGCCTCCTTCAGCTTCTGCGCATGAGGGTTTTTGCAGTGCTTAACCTTTGGGACCAGGAACTCGGCCTGGAGGTACTGCGAGGCACTGAAGCCAGGCTGGACGATGCAGTCCTCAGGACTGCTGGCATCTGGGAAGGAGAAGAAAAATCCACCTTATTCTCCAGGGTGGGGAGCTCTGCTGAGCAGCAGTGACCTCCCTTCCTCACCTCGCAGGGGCCTGGTTTCCAGGCTGGAGTGTGGGAAGGACAGAGAGCCCTCAGGATTTCATGTCCTTCACCACTACGCTGCAACACCAGGAGCCCAGGCAGAGATGCAGAGGTGCTCAGCTGGACCGTTGGATATCGAGGAAGCTCTAGAATCCCCTTCCTCCCTTATCCCCTCGGGCTCCGCTTGATTAGCTCCAAACCAGCTCCTGCAGGCAGTGATCAGCACGAGCGCCTGCCTGCGAGGGGTCACGCTGCTGAGATGCCAGCTGACATGGACAGGCCACTGCTGTGAGGAAGGCTGTGGCACCAACCCCCGCCCCCACCTCCCACATCTTTATTAAGTGAGTTGAGAAATGTCTTTCAACCACTCCGATTTTCACTGTAAAACCAGTTTCTTTTGACACCCGACTCCTGAGCAATGGCCCGAAAGGAGGAAGGGAGCCATATGCTGCCCTGAAAGATGCCCTGAGGGTTGCTCCTCCGAGCGTGAACCAGAGCAGCGAGGTGGGGTACCGAGGAGCCTCTGTGGGGCGATAGCGCATCGCCTCGCTGTGGATGCCAGCACCCATCCCTGAGCGCGTCTGGGACTCACCTTCACCTAGTCGGAAGTAGATGTGGTAGGGGTTTTCCAGCTCTGTGAAGGAAGTGATGCCCTTATAATGGTCTTTCACCTGTTGCACAATCGGCTTGTCACTTGTATAGTTAACTTTTTCAGTGACTAGCACGTTGTTCACTAATGTGGAGACATGGATGTCCTGAAAAAAAAACAAGGCAGCAATAGAATGGAAACGACTCCTTCTTCCCCCCCGGGTGTGGTGACAGGGCTCCCTGCTGGGGGCGACACCAGAGTGCACAGCCCACCAAATATCAGGCTAACCCCAAGCACCCCATTGGACCAGGGTACCTGGCAGTGCTCCCATCTCTGGAAAGCAGGCTCATGGGTGACCGAGCAACCAGACCCCAAGACGCTGCCACTTCATTGGCTGCTTTGGCAAATGACAGGCTCACCCAGCAAAGGTGGCCCAGGAGCTCAGACTGGATGCTGGCTCCACTGCTGGCTGCCCAGCTGGCCCGGCCTGCTCTCATGACATTGAACCACTGCACAGGCAGCTTGGCTGTGCGTGGGTTCTGGAAGGCCCACAGGAAGGTGGAATCAGCTGGTGTGGCACTGGGATTTTCCAGGAATGCTCAGTGGAGCCGGCATCCAGCCTGTCTGAGCCTCTGGGCCGCCTTTGCGGGGTGAATAGATTCCAGGGAAGGGGCCAGGAAGAATGAGCCAGATCTGGGCCGACCCTTCACTTCCTCCAGGGCAGAGCGAGTGGGGCAGAGGGGCGGGCTGTAGCAGGAGTGGTGCCACTGTTCAATCTGATAGAACTTTGCACCCTGCCCCTGCCTCCACCATTGTCAGACTGGGTTATTATTAGGCACAAATAGGAAGGAGGGTGTATTTTGCTAACAAAGCTCCCAGCCACGACTGAGCTCGCTGGAGCCAAATCCCATCCCTGACCTTCCTCCAAACCGGCAGAGGAAACGGGAGCTTTGTCAAGTTTTGTGCGTCACTGGCTGCTCAGACTGGCCTCTGCTCAGATCCAGGGCCAGAGGGAAAGCCAGCCAGGGCCAAGTACAGTGCCAGAGCTGCAGGGAGGGGCCCGACGCAGGAGACAGCAGGAACCAGGCAGGGGGTACAGAGCCTGAGCCAAGGGAGAGAGTGTGCTGCAGGAGGCAGTGAGATGCAGGCAAGTGGGGGAGTGGTCTGGGGGAGGTGCTTGCTGTGGGAGGCAGTGGGATACAGGCCAAGAAGGGAACCTGGGGGAGGTGCACATTGAGGGAAGCAGCAGGGGGTGGGGGGAGAGGGGGAAGGCAGAATGAGGGAAGGGCACTCTGAGGGAAGAAGCAGGACACAGGCTAGATGGGGGCAGGCTGGTGGAGGGGTACATTGCTGGAGGCAGTGGGATGCAGGCCAGCTGGGGGAGGGGTGCACTGCTGAAGAGTGTGCTACAGGCCAGCTGGAGAGCACTGTGTGATGCAGCAGGGCCCATGCGCACATGGGGACAGTGTGTGGGCAGGAGAAGGGATGTTGTCCTGTGGGCAGTAATTCTGCGGACACAGCTGCCAGGATGTCTCCCTGAGTAGGATCAGGGACAAAAATGGCAGCCACAGCTGTCCCACACAGAACAACGGACAGTCTGGTCCCCATGTCGGACACACGCTCAGAGCTGTGGGACGAGACGAGGGGAGTTGACGGTCTCGCCCCACTCTGAGGGGTGGGCGGAGACGGTCTCTCTCTTCTTCCGGGGTGCCAGCCCCTGTTGTGGCTCTGACAGGCCGAGCTTTTTCCTAGGGCTCAGCTCCACCATGCCTGGGGCGTGGTCCACAGTGGGCCAGGTGTCTGGGATTTCCATTCACTGCCAGCAGATCTCCCCGTCAGGCTCTCAGTGCCCTCGGCGTGGTGTTCAGAATGCCATGGAGAGCTGCCCCCAGCCCAGCCCATCCCTGCTGCTGCTCTCTGCTGCACCCAGACCTTTCACGCTCTCTGCAGGGAGCAGCAAGCTTGGGCTTTCCCACAAGCTCCCCCGGCACCCTCCTAGCCTGTGGGCCAATGCCGCGTGGCCAGCGTTTGGCTGGGCAGAAGCCTGTGTGCTGCTGGGGACGTGCGTTGCGTGCTGCACTGGGGTGCACTGCGAGCTGGGACGCATGTTTTCGCATTCGACAGCCTTCTGAAAGGGCTGCAACTCAGCTTGGCAAACAAAGGGGTTGGTCCAACACAGGGCGCAACATGGGGTTGGGAACTAAAGGAAGGGGGCTCAGGGCCTGCTACTGGCAGAACAGGGCTCAGGGGCTGACTGCTAGAAGTTCAGAGACTCTGTTGGGTGCATGAGACTCAGGCCCCCTTTCCCGCTTTCTGGATGTATGGGCCTTGGATCTTCCCCTCATTGGGACTATGGGCGTCGGGGGCCCCTCTTTAACCCCCTGTGGACTCAGATCCCCTCTGCTACTGGACAGGAAGGCCATGGGAGCAGTGTGAGAAAAATTGGGGCCTTTTCAACTTAACTTTGTTAACCACTAAATCCTCCCTGAATTGTGCCAAGTACAAGTCAGGCCGTGACTGTTGATAAACAGCCTGGATATGCCCCCTCTCTGCCTGTATCATAGAATCATAGAATCATAGAGCTGGAAGAGACCTCAGTAGGTCATCAAGTCCAGCCCCCTGCTCTAGGCAGGACCAACCCCAACTAAATCACCCCAGCCAGGGTTTTGTCAAGCCGAGACTTAAACACCTCTAGGGATGGAGACTCCACTACTTCCCTAGGTAACACGTTCCAGTGCTTCACCACCCTCCTAGTGAAATAGTTTTTCCTAATATCCAACCTGGACCTCTCCCACCACAACTTGAGACCATTGCTCCTTGTTCTGCCATCTGTCACTGTAACCAAATCATAGAATACTAGGACTGGAAGGGACCTTGAGAGGTCATCGAGTCCAGTCCCCTGCCCCCATGGCAGGACCAAGTACTGTCTAGACCATCCCTGATAGACATTTATCTCACCTGCTCTTAAATATCTCCAGAGATGGAGATTCCACAACCGCCCTGGGCAATTTATTCCAGTTTTTGACCACCCTGACAGTTAGGAACTTTTTCCTAATGTTCAATCTAAACCTCCCTTGCTGCAGTTTAAGCCCCTTGCTTCTTGTTCTATCCTCAGAGGCCAAGATGAACAAGTTTTCTCCCTCCTCCTTATGACACCCTTTTAGATACCTGAAAACTGCAGGGGGGAGGGGGGAGAAGAGGGGTGCAGGTCTTGGCTTCTCAGCTCAGATGTTTCCTCCATCACTTGGGGGAGTGCACATTTCCAAAGGGGCCCACACTCCGTCTCCAGCCCCTGCTGTTTGTTATCAATACTAATAGGTCCAGGGGGGCTTGGTTTGGAATTTGGAGCATTTCTTCCAGATGTGGCAGCAGCCAGCAGCTAACAGGCCAAGAACTCCCACTGTCATGGGGCCCACTGCTCAACATAGCCAGAGGAGCTGAGCTGCTCTCCCAGATGCAACCAGCTGTTTGCTTTCCCTTCTCACAGGACAAAAGGACAGACAGACCAAGGCAAACAACAGGGCTCAGGAGCCAGAAAGAATGAACAAGAAGAGACAAGACAGAGATGTTTCCTTCTCCCCGTCTTTTAAACTCTCCTCCCCTCCCTCTTATCCAGTGCATGCTTCCGTGTTCTTTTAATAACATGTCCCTCCATATAAGGGACTTACTGTCCCCAGCTGGGCAAGGGAAGTTGGTGCAGAGTTAGTCAGGTACTGACACAGCCTGCCAGATTCCCAAAGGAAGTAAAGCCAGATATTTTGTGTGTGTGTGTGTGTGTGAGAGAGAGAGAGAGAGAGAGAGAGAGAACCAGCGTGTGTAATGTTAGAGAGTCAGTTAATGACAGCAAAATTCATTCTATTGGCTGTTACCATGGCATGAGGTAGTATTGCCTAGTGAGTAGATTACAGTTGCCAATTCTCACTAAAGCTACTCTGGGAGATTTTCCCCCCAACATGGCATAATGTCATTTTTGTAAAACAGTCTATTACATTTTCTAGGGTTGCTTTCAGTCGTCACTAGGAGATTGGTGCCGATTCTGGGAGACTCCAGGCCCATCCTGGAGCGTTGGCAGCCCTAGTCTAGATCCAGAGCACCTAGGTTCTATTCAGAGCTGGCTCTTCGGATTGTCCAATCAGCTGCTCAGGCACTTGTATGTCCCTTATTACCACATCTCTCATTTATCCTCACAACACGCCCAGGGAGCAGGCCAGTGCTGTTCTCCCCACTTTTACACATGGGGGACTGAGATGTTGAGAGACTAAGTGACTTTCCCAAGGTCACACAGAAAGTCTGTGCAGAGCTGGGACCTGACATCCAGTCTGCTGAGACCCAGGCCAGTTATGCACATAGATTCTGAGGAGTTTGATGTCTCAGCTAGCTGGCAGAATCAGCCCCACTTCTACTTCTGCCTTGCCCACTGACTTGCCCAAGGATCATAGAGCAACTCTGTGCCACAGTTTCCCCATCTGTAAAATGGGACTGATAATCTTGGCCTGCCTCACAGTGGCCACATGCCCCTTTGTTCAAGCACTCTGGGGCCCGGCCCGCGCCCAAACCCCAGATGAACCCCCGGACTTCCTCACCACAGACCTCAGTTGAGAAATCAGAGCTGCAGCTAATACTGCTCCTCCAATCTGCTTCTAGTCAGACGGGAAGGAGAAAAGGTTGGAGCTTTCTCGCTTTGGGTGCACTGTCCTGCACCTGGCTACCTCAATAGGTGACAGTCAAGTCTGCTTCTCCTCTTGGGCATGGCATAATGAAGGAGCCTTCACTTTCCTGCAGGGAGCCTAAAGGGTCCCATTTTTCATAGACTTACATCCTTGTCGGCCTTGGAATGTGGCCACCCTCCTTTCAGCCAAGGAGGACAGAGAGGCCGCACTTTTTAGTGTGGAGGGAACTGAACTAGAAATATAGAGACCTGACTTTTATTCCCAGCCCTGACACTGAGCTACTGGGTAAGCTTGGGCAAGTCACTTCCCCTCTCCCCCTCTCTCTTGTATACTCAGACTGCTAGCTCTTCAGGACAAGGCAGTCTCTCACTGTGTATGTGTAGTGCCTAGCACCGTGGGGCCCTGAGCTCAGCTGGGGCCTCTAGATGATAATCATAGAGAACAACAATGAAGAAGGACAATGCTGACCTTTAATCACGAAGGGCCACATCTTAGAGATGTGGGGAGCTCCACCTGCTCCACCATGGCTTGTGTTTTCTCTGATTCCTGCCTGATCTGGGGACAGGAGCTAAGAAGGAGGCTCCCTTCCACAGTGCTACCCCGAGGCTGT